CTACTAGGAACAAAGGGCATCGCTACTAGGAGCAAGGACGCTACTAGAGGCGCTCCTGGCATTACTCCTAACAAGAAGCTACTAGGAACAAAGGGCATCGCTACTAGGAGCAAGGACGCTACTAGGGGCGCTCCTGGCAATACTGCTAACAAGAAGCTACTAGGAACAAAGGGCATCGCTACTACTAGGGGCGTGCCTGGCATTACTGCTAACAAAAAGCTACTAGGAACAAAGGGCATCGCTACTAGGAGCAAGGACGCCCCTACTAGGAGCAAGGACGCTACTAGGGGCGTGCCTGGCATTACTGCTAACAAGCAGCTACTAGGAACAAAGGGCATCGCTACTAGAGCAAGGACGCTACTAGGGGCGTGCGTGGCATTACTGCTAACAAGAAGCTACTAGGAACAAAGGGCATCGCTACTAGGAGCAAGGACGCTACTAGGGGCGTGCCTGGCATTACTGCTAACAAGAAGCTACTAGGAACAAAGGGCATCGCTACTAGGAGCAAGGACGCTAACAAGCAGCTACTAGGAACAAAGGGCATCGCTACTAGGAGCAAGGACGCTACTAGGGGCGTGCCTGGCATTACTGCTAACAACAAGCTACTAGAAACAAAGGGCATCGCTACTAGGAGCAAGGACGCTACTAGGGGCGCTCCTGGCATTACTGCTAGCAAGAAGCTACTAGGAACAAAGGGCATCGCTAGGAGCAAGGACGCTACTAGTAGCTCCTGGCAATACTCCTAACAAGAAGCTACTAGGAACAAAGGGCATCGCTACTAGGAGCAAGGACGCTACTAGTAGCTCCTGGCATTACTGCTAACAAGAAGCTACTAGGAACAAAGGGCATCACTACTAGGAGCAAGGACGCTACTTGGGGCGTGCCTGGCATTACTGCTAACAAGAAGCTACTAGGAACAAAGCGCATCGCTACTAGGAGCAAGGACGCTACTAGGGGCGTGCCTGGCATTACTGCTAACAAGAAGCTACTAGGAACAAAGGGCATCGCTGCTAGGAGCAAGGACGCTACTAGTAGCTCCTGGCAATACTGCTGACAAGAAGCTACTAGGAACAAAGGGCATCACTACTAGGAGCAAGGACGCTACTAGGGGCGTGCCTAGCATTACTGCTAACAAAAAGCTACTAGGGCTACTAGGAGCAAGGACGCTACTAGGGGCGTGCCTGGCATTACTGCCAACAAGAAGCTACTAGAAACAAAGGACGCTACTAGTAGCTCCTGGCATTACTGCTAACAAGAAACTACTAGGAACAAAAGGCATCGCTAAGTCTAGCCAAAAGAAAAAGAAAGATCCCCAAGAGGCCCTGAATCCGCCTATTAGGCAATGGCAACATCAAGCGCTGTGTCTTTGCAAAAAATGCTTGAAAAGTGAACCTTTTCGTGCCATGAGAGCATCACAACACTGCATGTTGGCATAGCAGCAACGCACATGTATGTCAAAAACATGACACGACCACAACAAGCAAGAACCACAAAACCTGCTCCGGAACCCACTCTAGAGCCCGCAACCATGTCAGCACGACAGCGTGACCCGACTTCAGCATCTCAGCATGACAAAGGGTCAGCATGTTGATGTGACCCATGCCAGCGTGCCAGCATGACAACAGGTCTGCATGACTGCCTGACAATATGTCGGCCTGGCATCGTGCCAGCTTATAAGCGTGACATGTTGACGTGCCAACACGTCCACACCACAACACTATGTTACAACGCGCCAGCACGGCATTTCTGCATGTCAGCACGACAACAAATAGTTTAGATTAGTTTAGCATGTCAGCAAAAGCCGGGTATCAACACAACATCATGTTTACGACAGAGTGACAGCACGTTAGTTACGTTGCAATGCCGGCCCGACAGCGCACACCATACAAGCACAGTAGCCTGACGGCATGACAACATGCCAGCATGATGCCATGTCAGCACCTCTGCATAGTGCTCCAGAGCTTGCTCCAGAGTCTGTTCCCGAACCTGTTCCGCAACCTGCTCTCTGGAACTTGCTCTGGAACCTCCTCCGGAACCTACTCCGATATCTTTACGACTAGACTATGACTAGACAAACCTAAGCTTCGCTGTTGGGCAAGAAAACTGACTCTGGTAGATCGTCATGGCCCGGCCAAGCAGCCATGTCTCCATAGAGTACGATCAGTTCCTTGTCCTTGGGAAGAAGTGAAGTGACGGAAAGGTCTTGGCGAAAGGGTCATCCTGCCAT